GCATGTTCTCCCAAGAGCAGCTGGCTTGGGCTGCTGGTATGAAGGCAAGTGCAGTCTGGAGGAGGTGATTCCAGGGCTGGGCCTCCAGGTGCCAGGTTCTAGGTGCTTCCTGGCACCTGTGAGCACCAGATCCTGGCAGCAGGTGGTAGAGAGTGTGCCCCTCCCTCTCCTCAGTGAGCACCGGGCCCCTGGTAGGTTTCCACATAGACATCTGTCTTCCATTAACTCCCGCTGCTGGATCACGGCACTGAACACTGGGCAGCCGAACCACGGGTATTTACCCTCATACTTCCTGAGGCCGGGAGCCTGAGATCGGGCTGCCACTGGCGTTGGCTTCCTGGCGGGGACTCCAGTCCTGGTATGCGGACTGCCAGCTTCCTGCTGTGTCCTCGCCTGGGGGTGGCGGTGGCAGTAGTCCCGTTTGTCTAGCCTATTCTTATAAGGACACTGGTTCTATAGTGTTAGGGCCCCAGCCTCTTGACCTCATTTAATCTTCTTCACCTCCTAATTCCTTCTCTGTGTGTACAGACATATTGAGGGGGTCAGGGCTTCAGGATACCTTGTAAAAGGGATTCTGTGACTTAAATCAAGGTTTTTCAAACTTTCTGAAAAGGGACGAGACAGTGAATATTTGTGGGTTTGGGGGCCTTCCAGTCTCTTTGTGACTGCTTGGCTCTGTGGTATCAGCATTAATATGACTGTGGCCACAGCCATGTGCCAATAAGACTTTATTTATAAAAACATGTGGCAGGTCAGATTCCGTAATTTGCCCGGCTCTCAACCAACTTAAATGATGTACCTGCTCAATAAAGAGATTTGGAAAGAAAAAAAGCCACAAAATCATTTAATCCCAATTCTCCCATCAAAAGAATTGTGGTTGGGGTTTGACGAAGCCCTTGGCTTTTTCTGAAGATTTTTGGTTGTAACTGGGACTATCCTGTAATTTTGATTGTGCTGTATTTCTTATGACAGCAGACCCCTCCTGAGACCATTTCTGTAGTTGAACTGGTGTTCAGGACTAGTAACCAGCCCCCGCAGGGCTGTCTGCCAGCTCCATACCTGTCCATTCGGTCCACGGGTGTAGAGTGGTGTGGTTAGAGTTGTCCTGAAGTGTGTACACATGGTGTGTGTGTGCACACACACTGTGTTTATGTGCACCTGGCGTGTGCGTTTTTCTCTTTGTGATGCAACAGACAGTCTTTGGATTTCACATCCTTGGGTGTGATCCTTGGGAGGAGGAAGGCCTCATCTCCGGCTGGTCAGAGCTGCGCCCTCACCCTCACTGTTGCCAGCCTTCTGCTCTGCAGGTAGCCGGTGTCTGCTACCAGGGCAGGTGGGGGGGCATCCTGTCCCTGCTACTCTGGTGGGGGGATGTGGGGGCCTGTGTCTCCTCTCTGCTGTCACTTTAAACAGCTCTGTTCCTTCTGCGTCCCGCTGGTTAATTAACTTGACTGGTCAAGGGCTCTCTGAGCTGCGCTTTTGTGGGGCTGTCAGACCCTCTTGATGAGAGGCTGCATCCGAGCCTGTTTTGTTCTGAGTGTTGGGGCACTGCCTCCCTCTGCTTGCAACATGGGGGGAGGCCACAGTTCCAGGCCTAGAATTTTGGGGTGGGGCCCAGTCAGTGGGGCCCAGAGCCCCCTATGGACAGGCCCACCCTGGAGGCCGGCAGGGACCCACAGGCAATGCAGCCTGTCTCGCATCCTGGCCGTGGGACCCAGGCCCGACGCAGCGTGTGTCCACCCCAGTCCCTGCCGCTTCCTTTGCTCCTGCGGTCTTCAGATGGCCCCTTTCCCCAAGTGCTGCCTGGTGCAGGAGGCTCCAAAACAGGAGCTCCGCCCTGCGGCTCTGGTGACAAGTCTTTAAGGAACAGAGGCCCCTGGGGCACACTCAGGCTACAGGGGGCCAGCGGTCCTCCTCCCCTTCCGGCCCATCTCTCCATCAGAACTAACGGGTGGCAGGCACTCCGGGAGAATGCTCTCCGGCTGCTCCCAGCTGACAGGGCTGCTGAGCACAGGCACTGGAGGGACAGTAGAAGACGCAGTCAGCTTTAATGGCTCTGGCAGGGCCTCAGGATTGGCTGGGAGCCAGATGGCTGCCCTGAGGGTCATGGCCTGAGCCCCCTTTCCAGGCCAGCCCTGCAGCTCATGGCCCCATCCTTATTTACAGGCCCAAATGAAACAGCACTATGGGCAATTCCACTGTGCGGGGGTCATAAATCAGGAGACGGGCCCGGGTACGGGCTGTGGGGCAAGGGGGGAGCTCTGGTGTGCTCAGCCCTGCAAGTTCTTTTCGCTGGTCTTAGCAGATTCCTCTGCCAAACTGAGCTGAAATAAGGCGATGCGTCTATGGTGTCTGCAACCCTGGGCTCAGCTGCTCTGTCCACGGAGGTGACTGTTGCCCTGTCCTAAACCAGAGGTGTCCCTCCTGCCCCCCAGAACCCGTGGGGCCTTGCCTCCATCCCTCCCACTGCATCCTCCCCAGTGCCTATGCTCCGCGTACCTCCATGCCCACCAGCGACCAGCCCCACCCTGCCTCACCAAGGACCACATGGAGACGTGAGGGCTGCTGCTCCCAGCGCTGACCCTGGCCGGGCTATAGGCCATGGTGACACACCCCAGGTCCACTCCGTCCCCTCCAGGGCCACACAGGTGCTTTTATTAATTACTTAAGGAAAAGCAATTGCATGGCCACTCGATACAAATCCCTCAAGCTGCTGTTGGTGGCCACACAGGCCAGGCCACACCGGCCAGGCTGCAGCCGGCCAGGATCCCAGAACCCGGGCGCCATCTGGACCCCTGCCACTCTGCAGCCAGATTGTACTGCCAGCCTCTCTCTCTTGTGCAATTTTTCATTAAATGAATTGAGTTTGCTGGAAATCGCTGGGTTGTAAGTATTCCTTCCCACTTGGTGTGGTTGGCTTATTGCTGTCCCCATGCTGAGCTCCCAGATCTGGCCTGGGAGCGGGCAGGGTGGGGGAGTAGGGGCTGCAAGAAATGCTGCGTTTGCCCCCCACCTCCCTGCCCAGCATCCTCAGACTTCTGGGTTGTAAATATCTCACTGTTTCTAAACCAGCTTAGGGAGGTTGGGAAGGACTTGTCAGGGTGGTATATAATTGCTGCATTCAATTAAGTCTTTTCCTTCTGCTCCCTTCATTTCTGTTGAGAAAGTGGCAGTGACGGAGGTCGCTGTACATGGAGACGGTTGTACACGGAGGCAAGACGTGCATTTAACATGGAAACGCATTCATAACATCCTTTGAAAATTGTATGGGATGAAAAATAAGTGCATATTCAATTCTAAATGCATTCATACGTACACACATCCATACACATACTTGCATTTACCTGCAGGGGCATGATCACACACACTCAACCCGGGAAATAAAAATCCTGAGACATTTTTAAACTGTGGTTTTGGGAATAAGCATCTCCTGTGCCTGTTTATCTGACAGGCGGGCATTGGAGTAGAGCTGCAGAGGCTGTGGTGCAGGTGTCCCCCAGGGACAGCCGCCCCGCGGCCTCCTGTTGCAACTCTTGGGACAGGTATGGCCCCCTAAGGAGGCGAGGACCATGCCCCTTCAGAGGAAGGCAAGCACAGCCCCCCATGTCAAGCCTGCTCTGAGAAAGTGCCTCTCCCTGAAGCTGGCCTTTCCTCTCCAGCAGTGGTCCCCAACCTTTTTGGCACCAGGGACCAGTTTCGTGGAAGATGGGATTTTTCCACGGACCTGGGAAGGGGGAGTGGTTTCCATTTTGCCTCCTGGTCACTTCCTGCTGAGCAGCCCAGTTCATAACAAGCTGTGGACCAGTACTGGGTTGGGGATCCCTGCCCTGGAGTCTACACCTGGAGCCGGCAAACCATGGCCTGTGCCACATCCGGCCCTCTGCCTTTTTTGGCAATAGTTTTATTGGCACTCGCCTACCCCCATGTGTTTGTAAGTTGGTCTTGCTGCTTCCCAAGTGACGACAGGGCTGAGAAGTCATCACAGAGCTTGGTAACCCATGGAGCTGGAAGCTTCCACTCTGGTCCTTTCCACTCTCTGGGCAGGTCACCAGCCCTGCCCTAAACCAGCGGTCCCCTCTGTTCCTCCTACCATCTTGCCCATGGCCTCGGCCCACAGGTAAGCGGGAGGCCAGGGCTGCCTGGCTTCCTTCCTTTGACTGAAGGCTCGTTGTCCTGAGCCCAGCTTCTGCAGTCCTTGCTGGGCTTCTCCAGCCCCCAGCTCCCTGGGACGTCCGCGGTTCCTCCTGCTTGGGTCTTAGTTCCAGGGTGCTTGTGACAGTGCAATACAAGGGAAAGGCTCCCAGAACACATGGTGTGTGTGTGTGTTGGGGTGTTGAGAGTCTACACAGCAGAGGAGGGGGCGGAAGGACCCCATCTCAGCCCAGGAGTCCTCCTCAGCAAGCCTCTCTCTTGCCGTGCCCAGGCACAAGGGGCTCCCCTGGCCAGGCCGGCATTGCGGCGAGTCCTGCCGGCCTGGGGTCCAGTGCCAAGCCTCCCAGACTCTCAGCTTCCTCCCCTGAAGCTGGCAGCAGGGACTCTGGGCCGTGTGAGCACCTTCTCCACATCACCTTCACTTCTTTGTTTGCCCCATGGAGATGGATAGCTTTCCCCTCTTCCTTACTCTGTAATCACCGCTGTTATAGAACATTGCATGGGCGTTTTACCTGGTTGGGGGTATGTGCGTCTGACTGGGGGCAGATTTTGGTTTGAAGTGACTTCAGGTGGCCGAAGCTCAAACCACGTGGCCTCTGGGCTCCTGAGTGAGTCTGGGCACCACAGTGGACCATGTGCAGATGGGGTGTGACTCTGGGGGGTGGGCCAGAGGCACCCACTGGGGGATGCAGCAGCCTCCGCTCTCCCTCCCCATCGGGATGAGAAGACACCCTTTCCTGTCTCATGAGAGAGCTTCTTGGGAGGACAGGGTGGGCTCAGCATGCCCTGGCTGGTGTGGGGTCGCAGGCCTGCAGGCTCAGCCATCTCTCTCCTGCCCCCCCACGCAGTGCACGTGCCGGAAGGACATGGTCAAGATCTCCATGGACGTCTTCGTGCGCATTCTGCAGCCGGAGCGCTACGAGCTGTGGAAGCAGGGCAAAGACCTGACGGTGCTGGACCACACGCGGCCCACGGCCCTGAGCAGCCCAGAGCTGAGTACCTGGAGCGCCTCCCGAGCCTCCCTCAAGGCCAAGCTTCTGCGCAGGTGAGCTGCCCAGCCGCCCCGGCCGCTGCTCCTCCAGCCAGGCGGTCCCCCATTCTCCCTCTTCTCATTTCTCCCCCTCTACCATTTCTCCTGCTTCGGAAGCAAAGTGTTTTCTCAGGCTGATTTCTTCCTCCAACTCTTAGTGCATCACCGCCAGCACTATCTGTGTTGTCGGGGTCTCGGGCTCCCTCTCACTCCTTGTCTTCCCTCCCAGGGCCCCACACACTGTCTGTCTCAGGCTTTTGGTTCACTGTCCTGGGTGCGAGAGCCCCATTTCTGCACTGGGGCTGTGAGACCCTTCTTGACTCTTGAACAAGGACAGGAGCTGAGAGCCTGAGGCCCCCCGCAACCCGGATGGGAGCCTCACTCCTGCCCAGCGTGTCTGTGGCTGCTTGTTCTGGTGCCTCGGGTGATGTGTTCCTTGCATCCTGGTTATGGATGGTGGTTATGGGGGCGGTTACGGTAGTTACAGGGTTGGTTGCACAGACCTGTCCCCTGGATGCTCTCCACCCTCCATTCCACCTCAGAGGCCTCCTCCTAGCCTTCCTCCCACCCAGTATGCCTGTCCCTGCCCAGATCCTGCCTGCTGTCAGGTGGGGAAGGAGAGAGCACAATGGCCACCCCCTCCTGGCATCTGTGCTTGGCATCTGGCCAGGAGGTTGTGGGTGGCAGGGAAAGACAGCATCGTGCGGCCTTGGAAGTGTCCATCTCCATCGCACTCTTTCTCTGGGGAATATCCCGGCTCTCGGGGCCTGAGCTGCCCATGGACAGAGTTGAAACAGATCCCTTTTTGGTGCTCAGGGAACGGCCACCGGGGCCTCACTGGGCTCGGGGCGTGGTTAGAGCTGGCGGGGCAGCCCAGAGCATCACACGTGTCTGCGTCCAGGCTTCAGGGCCCAGCAGGCTCTCCTGTGACCTCTTGGCTCCATGGAGGTCACCCTGGATTGTAGACGGTCTGTCAACAGTGAATGTGGTGTGTCTCAATAAAACTTTATTTACAGACACTGAAGTGGCAATTTCATACCATTCCCACATGCCACAGAAGGTTATTATCCTTTAACTTTGGAACCACTGAAAAACACGACCACCACTCACAGTTTACGGGTGACACCAAAACAGACAGTGAGCAGATCCGGGCCTCCGCAAGGCTTCCGTCTGTGGCCCTCGGTCACTGCTGGCAGATCCTGTCCCCACTGGCCATGGGTGGTGCCTCCCCAGAGCCTGGTCCCTGATCGGTGGGGGCCCGGCCACTTCATTCCTTGGGCAGCGCCTCCTTGGTGGCGCCCCCACACTCTGCCGACACTGGGAGAAATCGTCCTGGCTGGGTGGTCATACCCGCCGGGCAGCTTCTCTCCCCCGGGGCCGGCCTCCGTTCTGTGCTCTCATCCGTGTGTTTCCACCCTCACCCCCTCTCTGAGAGCGTTGCCTCAGCGCTCCCCGCTACTCCTGACAGCCCGCACGGAGGGGAGGCTCGCTTCTGTCTCTGCCGCTGTCTCTCCCTTTGATTTCCCTCTCCGTGTGTTCCTCCCCGAGAGCACTGCCTCAGGGTGGCTCCTCATCTCTCCCGAGGGCGGGAAGTGAGCCTGCTGACTCTTCAGCTGCCGGCTCCCAACCCGATCCAGCACTGCAGGATGCTTGGCTGGTGGTGGCTCAGGCTAACTGGTCAGTGGAGCGACTCAGGGCTCCCTCCAAGGAGGAAAGGGATGTGGGGCTGTGAGAGGAGCCTGCCCAGAGGACGAGGACAAGGCCTTGGGCCAGGCCACGCTGGAGCCTTCTGTGTACAGAGGAGGAGCCCCGCGCCACCCCCCACCCCCGCCAATGTGTCCCACAGCACAGGGCTCCTTCCCACCTTCTCTGTCTGTGTGCCAGCCTGGGGCTGAGTGACCAGCGAGGTCGTGTTGCCAAGGACACATTTAGTATGTGAGATAAGGCCGAGTCCCCCACTTTGGGGGGCATTCTCTGAAGAGGCTGGCAGATGAAGGGCTCAGGAGTGGAGCCCCAAGCCCCAGCTGGGGGCTGAGGCCCCCGCTAGCAGAGGCCCTGTGAGCTTCCCTGCTGGCCGCGCAGCCGCCCTGCCCTCAACCCACTGTGCCTGGCCTCCAGGGCCACCGGCTCGCCGAGCCTCCCTTGTTGGAGAGTTGGTTGGGGGTGCGGGGGGCACCACCCAAATATCCTTGTCTTGGGCCTGATTAGGGGGGAGCACAGAGCAGATTGGGGGAGAGAGACAACAGCAGAGATCAGAAGAGAGCCTCCCCTCCACGCGGGCTGTCAGGAGTAGCGGGGAGCGCTGAGACAATGCTCTCAGACTGGGCCAGATTGGGATAAACCTGGGTCTATCCCTAGACCGGGGTCTCCCTCCAGGCCTGCTGACATCCTCTGAGGGGACCATCCAGGCTCTGGGTGGGGGGTGGAGCAGCATCCTTGGCTCCACCCACTCGATGCCAGGAGCACCCCCCGCCAGTGTGACAATCACACACGTCCCCATTGGGGTGGGCTCCTCACCGGCCGTCTGTGGGCCCCCCTGCCCCCCTGTGCACCCTCGCCACCTCCTCTGGGTCACTGCAGTGACTCCCCAGTCCTTGCTCAGATGGCTCATCCAGCCCCCCCCACCTCCCCCCGAGGGCCCAGCCTTCATGCCCCCTCTCCCAATACCACACCCCAGATGTCACCGCAGAGCAGAGTCTGGTGTTGGCTCCTTTGGGAGAAAACGATGCTCCCCGTGGATTTCCTTCTCATGCCTAAATCTTGTCTAGTGAACTGACCCCACCCTGTGATCAACAGGACCCGTAACCTGTGACCTTGTCCTTGCTGGTGCTCTGCCCAGCTGGTGTCTTGGCTGTAATCCCTTGCCCCCACTCCTGCCTGAGCAGCCCTTCTCCATATGTGGACAGTCTTTTCCTCTCAGCTCTTGATTATTTCCAACGAGAGCTGCGTTGTCCACATGTTGCCAGAGGTGTGTGTTCCGCCGGCCACTCATGTGCACCCCGCACAGAGCCTCTGAGCAGCCAGGCTCGGTTGGGGTGGGGGGAGTGCTCATCTCTGAGTACGTGGTCCTCGTCCCTCCCCAGCCTCTGCTGCTGCCCCTGGTGGGACCTCCAGCTGCCCCTACAGGAGGCAAGAGCCCGCCAGCCTCCCTTACCCAGCCCTGCAGCTCCTACCCGCCTCCTTTCTACCTGCCATCCTCACTCCCCATGGAAACAAGGAGTCAGAGAGGACATCCCTGCCCCCTCTGCTGCTCCCAGACCCTTGAGGGGCTGGCCTGGTCTCCCGTCCTCCCTGTGCCTGATGCCCTGGCCAGATGGACACCCCTGCGCCTCCAGCTCGCTCCCACCAGCCACCCTGACCCTACCGTGCTCCTGAGCTCTCCCACCACCATCACCTCCTGACCTCTCAGAAGGGCCATGACCATGGGCTGCCCCCTAAACCTCTGAGGCAACTCAGCGCAAAAGGGTCTCAAACAAAAAGCAGGACCTCACAGAAGAGGCCGACAATGAGCAGAAGAACACTTACCTCTTCTCCGAGAGACTGGGTGATGACATTTGTGGAAGAACCTGCTGTGTAAAAAGAAGACTTTAGAAGAGATGGCACTTGGGCATTTAAGAGAGAAAAGAGATACAAGAGGTGGGTTGGGAGACGCTTCACAATGTGTGTTAAACAGAAGACACCCAAGCCTCTGAAACGAGTAAAAGGTCAACAGAAGGAACATGGGGCCCAAATGGAATCAAACTTGGCGATTGTGATGCTGCAAGCTAATAGACAGAGGACAGGGGCCTCAAAGGTCAGGAGAGCAGTCATTTCAGCCCAGAAGTATGGACCCAGCCAAATTACCAACCACGTGTGGGAAGGGAGCAAGTCCCAGGTTTCCCCTCCTACCTGAGAAAGCTGCTGGAGGGTGTGCTGCAGCTAAACAAGGGCATCAATCAAGAAAGACATGCGATCAAGGAAACTGGATCCAATCCAAGAGAGTCCAAGGCAGCCTCAGATAAGGGGATGGCCCCGGATTGTCGTTTAGAAGCAAGTGACCCCTGCCTAGGAGGCCACACCAAGAACTTGGAGATAACTAAGAACACTAAGCATCCGGGATAGGAGGCCAGTTACTGACCCCAGGATGAGAAAGCAAAGAATGCAGTGAAGCAGATCTGTTGTTCATGGACGAACTGTTTATGGGATCAGAAAGACATAATATGGAGGTGGCCCTGGGGATCCTGTTGCAGCCAGACAGTGATTAGGGTGTGTGAGGTGACGTACCTCCTCTAACCACAAGAAAGTTAGCCCCAGATCCTCCCAGTGTTGTTCCCAGCTTATGTTCTCATGAAACAGACTCTTCTTTGCATGCGTTGTTCACTTTGCTGTCCCCTTTGCCTCCCCCTTTGTGCCTAGTTTCACTTATCATGGGGAGTCCTTGAACTAGTGAGGCCCAGTAGCTGCTGGGGGAGTTGGTGCTAGGGACAGAGCTCTGAGCCCAGTGGTGTATTTTCTAATTTTATATATTTATATATTTGTGGCTGTGCTGGGTCTTCACTGCTACTCAGGCTTTCTCTAGTTACGACAATCAGGGGCTGCTCTCCAGTTGCAGTACATGGGCTTCTCATTGTGGTTGCTTCTCTTGTGGGGCACGGGCTTTAGGGCACACAGGCTTCAGTGGGTGGGGCGCACAGGCTTAGTTGCCCCGAGGCATGTGAGATCTTCCCGGATCAGGGATTGAACCTGTGTCTCTTGCATTGGCAGGTGAATTCTTTACTGCTGAACCACTGGGGAAGCCCCTCAGTGATGGGTTGGGGGCTGAGGAGAGTCTGGGCTCTCTAGGGACCCTGAAAGTGGGTGGGACAGGGTCAGAAGTGGCCTCTGGGGCCGGTTCCAGGTGGGGGGAGGGGAAGTGCTGGGGGGGAGGGGGGTGCTGCAGGACACAGAGGCCAGGTGAGTTGGCAAGAGGAGGACACCTGGATGTGGTGGCCATTGTAGGGGTTCGCTTGGGCACCCGGCCCTGTAGCGTCCCCAGACCCTGAGAGAAGCCTCCAGGTGACTGTGAGTGAAAAGGCCGCAGCTTCCCGCCTGCCTCTGAGTCAGGGCTTCACCCAGTGTGGGGAGTGTCCCCTGGTGGGCCTGAGTCTCTCGTGCTCCCTCCCATCCTGCCCTGCCTGCCTGTCCTCCCGCATCCCTCCCCATCTCCGTGCACCCCTGCACGCCATGCTGTGTGTGATGCCATGCTCTGCTCATGACGCGCCCTCCCTGGAATGCTCCCCACTCCCGCCTGTGGTCATCGGGGTGGTCCATGCTGCCAACATCCAGTAGGGCTTGTCACACGCTGGGCCATGCCTGGGCTCGGCACAGAGCAGCTGCCAGCCAGGGGTAGGGGCCTGCGGGTCAGTCAGGCAGCGAGCAGCAAAGGACCAGCAGCAGTCAATGGTTAGCATCAGGGGACAGTTAGAAGGAGGCATTCCGGAGCCAGCGTCAAGGGCTAGGGCCACTGCAGACGCCCTAGGAGGAGGTGGGGGTTCTGGCCTCCGGAGCCTTTGGGGCCCCGCCTGCCCAGCCCTAGGCCGATGGCTCCTGAGGGAGCGCCTGGTCCTTGTCAGTGGGAGGTCTTGGTGTCTGAGCCTGCCAGGGCCGGCGGGAAGCCCTAGCCTGCAGCCTGGGCTGGCCCACTGTCCCTTCCCCAGGCAGGGCTTTTCCCCGCCCACCCCCCCCGTCCCAGCTCCTGGGCCAGTCACACACCTCCCGTGGTCTCTAAACTTCTCTGTCCCCTCCCTGGAAGGTTCCGGGAACTGGCAGGGACATCCCCACAGCCCGAGCCCGGCAGAGGTGCCCTGGCCACTAACCTGCAGCCCGCCCCCCTTATCGCTTTCCTTTCTTCTTTTTAACCCTGATTACCCCTGGCTTTCACTCAGAAGCTGCAGCTCAGCCTTATCTGGGACACTCACTTGGGGCCTGAGGACCTCCCTCAATCCCTGGGGGGCAGGGGCAGGGGGCCGGGTGCAGCTTAGACGAGGGGCCGAGGGGTCACTGCAGGCTCTGGGCACAGAGCTCCTGCGGGTGGAGCAGACGCAGGGAAAGCCCGGGCGGGGCCAGGCCCTGCGGTGAGCCATCTGGGGTTAACACGAGTCCTAGAGAAAAACCCCCTGACGTTTACATTCTAGACAAATTAGTCTGAAGGAAAACAGACACTGGAAAAAGACTGAGGAGGAGAGAAAACCCAGTCTAGAGAGGAAGAAAGAGCAGACCCGGAGGCTGGGGCTCTCGTAAGTGCACCGTCTGTCCGTCACTCAGGCATTTTCTACCAGCCGCTGTTTCCACCCGGGTTCACACTCCTGTCTCCCCGCGCCCTCCACACAGAGGCTCTTAGAGCCGTCCATCCCTGCATCCCATCGCCAGCTGCCATCGCACCCGCTTGATACTGCCCACCCTCACCATCATCCTCTCCTCCCCCAGGCCTCTCTCCCTTTCCCGTCCCTGCCCCCAGGAGCCAACCCCACCCAGGACCCCGCTTCCCCTGCCCTCCTGGGGGGTGCTCGTCTGGGCTCTCTCTCTGGGCGGAGCCCACAGCCCGGTGCTTCTCCCTTGCATTATTTCACCTCCCCTCTGATGCATCTCCCTCTCCAGGTCTCACCGGAAACGGAGCCAGCCCAAGAAGCCCAAGCCTGACGACCCCAGGTCTCCTGGAGAAGGGGCAGCCGGGGCAGCCCTCCTGGAGGAGGCAGGAGGCAGCGCGAAAGAGGAGGCGGCGCCGGAGGAGGAGGAGGAGGAGGAAGCCCAGCTGCTGCCTCAGGGCCGGGAGGCCGAGGGCTCAGAAGGTCAGTCCCGCTGGCTGTCTGCGCTGCCCCGGCCAGAGGCCCCACGCTTTCACACTCCAATCTGTGTGCCTCATGGGCAGGAACGGTGCTTTCTAAAAACGCACATTCTGGTGAAGGGGCCTCCGGAAAGTCCCTCCCCTCCCAGAAACTGAAGAGGCTATTCTAGTCCGACGGGTGGCTGGAACAGAATCCACTGGTCAGCAGCTCAAATTCATGGGCTTTACTCGCTGGTGCTGGAGGCTGGAGCTCTGGGTGCTGGCGTGGCCCAGCCTGGTGAGGGCCTGCCTCCTGGTCTCTAAGGTCACTGATGCTTCGCCAGGGCCCCACCTTCATTACTCTCACCTCCCAGCCCCGTGGCGCTGAGGCATAGGGCTCAGTGTGAACTTGGGGAGACAGACTGAGTCCATAACAGGTATCATCTGGTCAGTCAGGAAAGAGGACGGCCTGCTGCTAGCTGGATGTGCCTGTGGTGGAGCCGCCCTGCTGGTGTTGAACAGAAAAGTGTATCTGGGTGCCGTGGTGGGGTGTCTCAGAACTGTGCCCTTTACACGCCAGGGGGCTGTTAGCCATGGAGCATTATTCCTTGAGTGTGTGAATGTCCACCAAACCCACATTTTATGTGCTGCTTTTCTTTTCCAAGCTGGTTTCATTTTTCTCATTTTCAGATTCAGCTGCTCACATGTCTGCACGTAGCAGCTGCCCGCCCCCCCACCCCCGCCAGGTGTGAAGGAGGGGCTGGGTGAGGCTGGGGGTTGGTGGCAGATCTCCAGGCAGCCCTGTCTCAGACCCCATTACAGGCTGTAGGCTGCTGGGGTTCCACTCAGGCCCTCCAGCTAGTCCTCAGGACTGTGTCTTGCTGCTTATGAGCCCAGCATGGTCGCTGCCCAGCTTGGGGTCAGGCTGTCCTCGGGGTCCTGTGACTGATGTCACAGATGATACGGTGTTCGAGGTGACTGTCCACAAGGCTCTGTGTGTGGCAGGCATGAACCCCGGATGTTCCCACCAGCTGGAAGGGGGTGTGTCCCTGCGAGGGGCCTTGGGAGTTGGAGACGGGAGATTGGAAAGCTTCCTGGGAAGTGACACACTGGTGCGTGTCCCCGGATAGCCTGGCGTGCTGCTCAGCCCGTGGGCATCATCAAACGGCCCGGCTCCACCCAGGAGAGTCTGGACAGCCTGGGGAGGCAGGCAGCCCAGGGGAGGGAAGCGCATGTTGGCACCATCTGGGCGCAGGCGAGATCACCCTATAGAAATAGACCCAGAGCCGCATCACACTTGTTTGCAGAACATGTGATTTTCACAAAGATCCCACTTGTGATAAAAGCAACCAGAGAGTGATGCGGCCTGGAGCAAATCTCCCCAGAAATAAGAGCTTTATGGGGAAAACCAGAGATGTTTTTGAAAGACAAGGAGGAACTGAACACAAATGGGGCTGCACGTGTTAGGGGGATGCCTGGTGGTGAAGGTGGATCCCTAGCTCAAGGATCGAGGATGTTGATTTCACTGCAGCCCTAGGGATGGAGGCCGGAGGAAGAGAGGTCATGAGAGGTCAGGGCTGCAAGACTGGAGGCAAGAGCTGTCCCAGGCTGCAGTGAATACCACCACTCCTCCCCAGGGCCACCAGTCTTCACACGCAGCCTTGTATCTAACACTTGCTCCCATATCCCAGTTACTTAAAGTTCTGAAAACAGGCCGGGCAGACGAGGGATGTTTAAGGAGCATCCGAGTCTGCTCGGCTGCCCTGACCCAGACCCCGAGTCAGGGCTTCAGGAACCACAGCGCAGTGTCTGATCTGGAGGCAGGAAGTCCAAGGTCGAGAGTGGCTGCGGGGCTGCTCCTGCTGAGGACGTGGGGGAGGGTCTGTTCTGGCTTTGCTCCTCGGCTGGTAGACAGCCAGCTTCACACTCACACGGTGAGCCTGTCTCCGTCTTGCCCATTCACAAGGACACTGGTCATGCTGGCAGAGGGCCCACCCCGATGATGACCTCATCTTAGTAACTCATCACATCGACTGTTAAGGGACACCCCCTCTCCCCAACACCACCTGCTGGACACAAGCCCCTTGCAGCAACACTGCCCTGGCCTCAGTGTCTCGGGATCCCGAGAGCTGGCCTCATGTCCATGCTCAGCAAGGCCTCTTCCACGGTGAGACTCCGGTTCCTCTCTGGTTTTCCCTGTTGTAAGCAGATTGCCACCTAAACAGTGGGGGATGTGGCGGTGGGCTCTGTCCTTTGACAGTAAGACGTGCTGCAGACAGCACTGTGCAGGATGCGTGCCCGCCTCCATTGCTTCTGTGCTCCGCTCCCTCTGTTCTACTTGTGGGCCCAGCCCAGGGCCCCAGGGCTTCTCTAAAGGGCTGCAGGGTCCACATTCTTTGGTGAGCTCCGTGTTATGTGGCTGTGGACCCAAGACGAGTGGGGACGTTCCCAGGGAGGCGGCCCTGTTCCCTGACTCATCACCCCGTCCCTGTTCCAACCCAGAGCCTGGTCCCCAAACAGAAGGAGCTGGACTTTTGGGGCATCTCCTGCAACACAGGCCCTTTGAGAGAGGAAGGGGTCCTTTCAGGGTGTGGCAGGAGCCTCCCACAGCCGGGAACTGCACTCTGGTCAGCGGCTGTCCCTTGAGCCCTTGGAGGAAGATCGCTCTGAATGCATTAGATAAATAAGTGCTTGCAGCTGGGGGTGTCAGCAAACATGTCCAGGAGCGAGTGGAAGACTTTAAAGTGGTTTCTAGACTTCCTTTCATGCCAGCTTAATGTCTCTCAAGGCTGAGTGTAACGACCCCCTTGGGCATGAAGATAGAGTCTTTGTTCTATGTTTGCATCAGGACAGCACGTGCCACTCACACCCAGGAGGCTGCCTGACAGAGGAGGCGGGGGATGGGCAGGATGCAGGAGCATGGACACCATGCGACAAGAGGAGCCAGGCTGGCTGATGTCGCTGGGCCTGGGGACGGGGGCTGCTTCCCCTCCTGGCTGCCCCGTGTCCCCACCCTGCTCTATCAGCTTCCCCTGCCCCCAGCCTGAACCCTGGGCCAAGCCCCAAGCAAAAGGCAGAAAGGCAGCCCAGGTCCACCTGGCCTACTGGGACCACGGGGGCTCCCTCCTCTTGCCTGGCTATTTGGCCAGCTCTGGCCAGGCATGGCCGCTGTCCTTTCTTGCAGCTCTGGAGCTGGGGGTGGCAGGAGCAGCACCAGGACTCCAGGAGGGCTGGTCCCAGAGCTTGTAGTCCCCCCGACCCCTGCCCATCCCTCACAGTGCTGTCCTGTCTCCCAGGCAGAATCCTGCCCGAGGGCTGGGGAGGGGACATGCAGCTATCCTGGGTCACTTCCCTTCCCCCAGGCCCGACAGCCTGTCATGGCTGTAGGAAGGACCCCAAGGCGGCTGTGTCCCGCAGTAAGCAGTGGGCAGGGCCAGCGTTCACCCTCAGACCATGTACTGCCCAGTGCCCCCAGCCAGCACAGCACCCTGGCCTGGGCTCTGCTCAGGAGGGACACTGCTGGCCAGGTGGGGCAGGGCCCCTAAATCAGGTAGCAGCCCCATGCCCCTGCTCGGCCCTGAGAGAACGTCAATGGGAGAGGAGTTATGGGAGCCCTGGACACTGGCAGGACCCATCAGCAGGGGGATCTTGCCTGTGCCTCCCTGCAAAAAAAAAGAAGTGCCAGAAGGGCCTCCGTGCCTCTGCCGGCGGAGGGGTCCCTGCCATTCTGCTCCCACAACACCCGAGGACGTGAGAGGGACTGTGTCCTGGAGCCGCCATCCCAGCTCTGTCAGGCAGGCCAGCTGAGGGCTTTCCACATGTGGCCCCCCTTGGCCTGCGGTGGTCCCCTCAGAGTCCTCTGGGTGTGCCCCCTCCTCTGCCGCCCTGAGGCCAGACTAACAGCCGTGTGCCTGCGCTGTCTGAGAGATGGAGGGGACGGTGGTTTCCTCAGAAAACAAAGCCACTCAGCCTCAGCCCCTGCTGCGTGTCTGGGCAGCCCCAGTGCCATTTCTGTAAGTCAGTAGATCTCAGCCTCGGCCACCTCCTGAGCCGGCTGCTGTCACCAAGCTCTATAAGTAGTGTGCCCCCACGTCTCACCCTTCCCATCTCTGGGGACAAGGGGTGACCTTCTGTTGCAGGACCTTCCAAGTCCAGCATCTGTCAGGGAGAAGCAGGTTGTCTGCCCTTTCCTAGACCAGATCACTGTTCTGGGATGCTGGTGGTTGTGGTCCCTCTGGGTAGGCAAAGGCATGAGGGATCCTGCTGGTGTCCTTGCCCTCGGCAGGTTCAGGGCCAGGGGGCATGGGGACTGGTGAGCACTCCCGCCTCTGAGCATCTCTTGAAAGGTGTGGCTGCCTGCCCAGGACCCGCGGGCTGGCTGGCCATCACTGTGGCGCCGTGGTGAGCAGTGGCCGGAGGGGCCGCCATCACTGCGGGCCAGGCTGGCTCTGAGCTCACCCGGTGGGGGCCGCTGGTGGGAGTTGGCCCCCTCCCAGCGCTCAGGCCAGGGGTCTGCCTGGAGGAAGGGAGAAAGGATTCTTGTTTGACCCCTTCCCGGGTCGGGATGGTCAAGGACTAAATGATGGCCTTGCCCTCGGGAACATCGTCCCACCTGTGCCGTCGTGTTTGGCTGGGGGACAGGGGTGACATTTGGACAGGTTTTTATAGCGTGAGGTCAGTGTGGATGCCGTGTGGCTGACCAGACCCAGTCACACACCCCACTGTCATGGATTTAGCAGGAAGAAGGACCAGTGCTTCCCATTGAGCAGTCCTTACTTTCCCAGCCTGGTTTGCGGGGGCCCAGATGGTGACACATCGGCACTGACAGCTCATGGGTACCAGCAGCAGGACGACCAGCTTGTCCTCTGGGCATCAACCACTGCCACACCTCATGTGATGTTGCAAAACCATGGGGATGCAGGCCAGGCAGGGAGGGCCTAAACTCGGTGCCCATTCTCCAGGCGGGCAGGTGGGGCCCAGGGGCTGTGCTGGGGCTGCTGGTCCTTGTGGGCAGGGGTCCCTGAGGCTGTGCAGGCCTTGTGGAGACCCGCACCTGCACACGTCCCCAGTGACTGTGTGATGATATGACCATGGACTTGGTGTCCGGAAGCAGCTCTCTTTTTGTCTGAAGTTTCTAAGGGTCAAAAGTCCCACACGGATCCCACTGGGCTGAGATCTGGGCGTGGGCAGGGCTAGTCCTTCCGGAGGCTCCAGGGAGCACCAGCTCCTGCCTTTTCCAGCTTCTAGAGATGCTGCCTGCCTGGCTCACAGCCTCTCCCTCCATCCTCACAGCCAGCAGCCCAGCATCTCCTTGAGCCCAGCGGGATCCTCTGCTTTTGAGGATCTCTGTTAGTAGGTGGGGTCCACCTCGGGATCCTCGGCTCACCCCGTCTGTAGAGTCCCCACTGCCAGTGTCTGGTTCCACGTCCTCAGGTCCTGGGGCTACGGCGTGGGCGTCCTTGGGGGCCGTGACTCCTCCAGCCACACCACTCAGCTCTGTTTATTTGAGGAGCTGCATACCCATTGTGGCCCTGAATTAAAATGCCGCTGAACACACTGCCTGCCCACCTCCTTCCCCACCCTGTCAGCTGTCAGGAAGCCCTCCCAGTGCTGGCCCTGAGGGGCCAACGGGTGTTCCGGGCCCTGACGACACTTCTGTCCCCCACACGTGGAACCACTTGTTGTTTAAGGTTTTGCTTTTAAAAAATTCTACGAGCTGTGTGCGTTAGGCATAGAAATAGGGAAAACCCAGATGTAGGAAAAGAAAACGTATCCTGCTTCTGCCCCCTCCCCTTTGGAAGGACCTTTAGAGTGGGTCCCTCCCCAGCTACTTGCCGACAGCTCGACTCGGCGCCCCGTGCGAGGACACCACACGGTGCTCTTCCAGAAGGTTCCCTGGGGCCGGGGCAGAACTCCACGGCCAGGGTGCCGCTTCTTCTGGCTAGGCTGCCTGGCAGGGGACCTGGTTGCAGGTGGGACTGCCCAAAGCCCAGGTCCCTTGGGCAGGGTTGGGGAGGGTGGCCTGTCTTGGGCAAGGGGGCTGGAAGGGGGCTTCTGGCCACTGATCCCTGGGGTGACCCGGTCCCTTGCCTCTGACTCATCTCTCTTTTGTCCCCGCAGAGGATGGGAGGAGCAAGCTGCGGCTGGTCAAGGCCAAGAGTGACCGGAAGAAGAAGAGCTATGGCTCCCTGCACCCCCATCACCCGCTGCTGCCGCCGCCCCCGTCCACCCATTTCACCGAGGAGGCACCCTTGCTGGAGATCCCGGGACCGGCCCCTGGCCTTGAGGCTGCCGAGGAGAGCCTCCCGCCACCGCCCCTCAATGTGGTGCCCCCCAAGGCCCCCGGCGAGGAGCCAGAGGCAAAGCCACGCCCTGTCATCCCCATGCTGTACGTGGTACCTCGGCCTGGCCCTACCGGCCACAAGGGCCGTGTGTCCTGCCAGCAGGCCTCGGAGCACTTTGCCCAGAAGGGCCCCACCTGGAAGGAGCAGGCCACCCCCATGGAGCTGACGGGGCCTGAGGAGGAGAGCGGAGCCAGCGAGGGGCAGGTAAAGGGGCAGTGGGTACAGGCTGGGGGGTCCCCCACCCCTGTGTGCCCACCATGGCCTCGCTCGTCCCAAATGGGCCCTGTGGCTCCCATCCAGAGGCCAGTGACACAGATGTGGTTTAGCAACCACCACAGATCTGGACGGCACTTTCCTGGGGTCTCCTGCCCCCGACTGGGGACTCTGGGGTCCTTTGGAACCGGGCTCTGGCCCCAGTGAGCAGTCCCTTCTTCTGGCCCCAGAGCTGCCCCCTCAGAGGCCTCCTATGCTGTTTTAGAATCCGTCCACCTTTTCCAAGTTGAAAATGGAGATCAAGAAGAGCCGGCGCCACCCCCTGGGCAGGCCGCCCACCCGGTCCCCACTGTCCGTGGTCAAGCAGGAGGCCTCGAGTGACGAGGGTGAGTGGGGGTGTCCCTGGCTCTGCTGGGTCCCTGCCCCGCCTTCCGCTGCTGCCCGCCCATTCAGCCTGCTCACTCCCACCCCAGCGCCCCCACGCAGCGTCAGACCCTCTCCCCAAGTGCCTCAGGGCTGAAGTGTCCCCTGCCTATTCTACAGCCCCCAGGCCCCATAAATGAGCACCTTGCTTCTTGGGCGGGTCCCTGGGGACCACCAACATAGACAAGGGTGGACGGCGCCCCATTGTCCTCAGGGAACGCGGGAACGGGCCGTGGGGGCTCCGGGACAGCCAGCCGAGCCACAGCCAGCAGAGGCCCGCCCAGTGACAGGAGGCAGGATGTCTGTTGGTGGCCTGCATCTTACGGGACATGGGGGCGACGGTGTCCCCACCCGACTTCAGGGGTCTGTGCCCCCTTGCCATGGCCCGACCACGCTGTGTCCTGTCCCCAGACGGGACTGGCCCTGCGCCGGGGACCTCCCCCGCCCAAGCACACCTGGCAGGGTGGGTTCCCACTGCTGACGCCCCTCCCCACTCCCCTTTACTCCAGAAGCCTTCCCTTTCTCTGGGGACGAGGATGTGGGTGACCCTGAGGCCTTGAGGTCGTTGCTGTCCCTGCAGTGGAAGAACAAGGCGTCCAACTTCCAGGCCGAGAGGAAGTTCAATGTGGCAGCCGCCCTGACGGAACCCTACTGCGCCATCTGCACGCTCTTCTACCCGTATAGCCAGGTGAGCCGGCACCGTGGGACCCCAGGTCCACACCAAGCTGGGCTTGTCCGCCTGCTCCTGTGGGCGCCCCACCAGAAGCCAGCCCTTGCCCCCTGAAGAGAGGGTGTCGGGGACCAAGAACCCATTGCTTTTGGGGCCACAATGGGCTCAGGGGAGAGCCTGGCTGGCGGGGCGTGAAGCTAAGGCCCCAGTGAGGGCTACGGGGAGAGAGCCTGGGGTCTGAATTTTCACTGGAAGGAAACTTACTCACAGGTATCAAAGAGGATACGAGTGCAGGGAGTGCTGTTCTCTGAGAGGCCCTCAGCCTGACTCGGGGGCCCAGGAGTGGGGCCAGGGAAGGGCCTGCGTAGTGAGCAGGAGTCTGGAAGCCCGACCAGCATGGGGCTGGTGATGGTGGGCTGGGCCAGGCAAAGACTCCCCGTGTGGCCTGGCCCAGACACAGCCCCCACTCTGTCCTGAGTCCCCAAGCCGTGAACCTGGCTTCTCCCTGCATTCTGCCCTGAACTGTCCACTGCCAGGTTCCCTTCTTCACCTGTCTCCTGCCCTGGCTCCCTCCCTGGCCCTGACCGCTGCCTGCCTCCTGCCCTTCCTGTTAGCATCTCATCATAGCCACGCGTGGCCCAGATGGAAATGCCCGGTCCTCGGCCTCTCCACATGCCCACAGCCATCCTCTCCTGTGACATCTGCCCCCACCCCCACATAGCACACCCTGTGCTGTCGCCCAGCATCTCCCACGTACGCACCCAGCCCCCCTGCCTGGCCAGATGGATTTCTGTGCATTCTTTAGTTCCATCCCACTTGCCACCTCTTCCAGGAAGCCTTCCTGGATCTGCGTCCCTGGCTGACTTGGGCCCACCTCTGCTTTCGCTCCTGCCCTCTGTTTATCAGCCCTGGAGGACAGAATCAGATCTCATTTGCTTTGTGATCCCCAGCTCCTAACCTAGTGCCAGATGTTTTCCATGCATTAGGTGGGCTGACTGAGGTCTGTGCACCATGCTGGGGTGGCATGCCTGTCTCCAGGGCCCTGTTGTTCTGAACGGCTGGGACCTGCCATCCCTAAGCGATTCAACACCTGGTGGTGGAAACAAGTAAGATGTACCATCCGGACATCTCCAGGCCTGACCTCCTCGGTGCTGCTGGCGTCAGCACTGGGAATGTCTTCTTAAGAGGTGCATCTCCTTAATTCCAGTGGCTAAGTGAAGCATCGTGACTGAACTTAATCATGCCCATGGCCGCAGCCCTCAGCATCAGGGCCAGGCTCTGCTCGTCCTGCGTCATAGGAAGAGCTATGGCTGGATGCTGTGCCTGTTTGGAAACTAGCCAGTCCCCTCATCCAAGGTGGACCCCCCCCATACACGCACATACAGTTCGTCTGACCAGTGGTCCTGGTGACCGCTTTCCTTCTGCTCGAGCTGGGCAGAGTCCTCCCTTCACTCTGGGGGTGCTGGGGAGGCTTGTCTGGGAGCCCTGCTGTCCTGTGACAGGCCCAGTGTTGCTGGGTTTTTCATCACAGACTCTTCATATGATTGGATCTGGGGGGCTTGGGGGACTGCGGTACAGCTGTCATGGCGTGCAAGTCATAAGTGTAGATACACAGGTAACATGGCATCAGGTGATGGTCAGGACCACAAGGCCGATAGTGCTCAAAGGCTTGGGGGCTGCTGGCCACATGAGTGAGAGATGAGCACCCCAGGCAGTGGGAACGGCACATGCAAAGGCGCTTGGGCAGGACCCAGCGTGGCATTTGGGGTGTTGGGGGGGGGGACAGCGAGGAGGCCCCTGTAGCTGGAGCAGAGCAAGCCCAGGGCAGTGGAGGCAAGCTGGTCAAGGACTGTGGGGTGGCGTCTGTGCTGGGTCTGGACGTAACTCTAAGTGGGAGAGCTTGTGGGTGGGTGGGACACGATCTGACTGTCTAGAGGATCTCTCAGGGGGCTTCTGAAGCAGGGCTGCGGGCTGGGAGAGTGTCAGGGAGAACTTGTGGTGGGGCAGCCACAGGTGTCCCAGTAGGGGTGAGCTGGGGCTGGAGGCCCCGCCTGCCCCAGGCTGGCCTCTCTGCTGAAAGCGTCCCTTCCTGCAGTCCCTGCAGACTGAGAAGGAGGCTCCCCAGGCCGCCCTCGGGGAGGGCCCCTCGGCCATCCCACCTTCCAGAAGCAGTCAGAAGACGCGGCCGCTGATCCCCGAGATGTGTTTCACGGCCAGCGGGGAGAACACAGAGCCGCTCCCCGCCAACTCCTACATCGGCGATGACGGGACCAGCCCGCTGATCGCCTGTGCCAAGTGCTGCCTGCAGGTCCATGCCAGTGAGTGCTGGGCCAATACCTGGGGGGCTGCAGGTGGGCAGAGTGTCTGCGGGGCAGGGCCGCCCCTCCCTCTGGCTGCTGCTTCCGGCATATAGCAGGACCTGGTGTCATGGGATCGGGGTCTCCATCCTTGGGGGGCAGACATCCTGCTGCCCCCCAGTCAAGGTAGGCCTTCCTGACACTTATTTCTAGAATGTTCTGCTGTGGCCTGCCCTCCCCTCCCAGGGCCCTAGGGGGCAGCAGATCAGGTCCCCATCAGGGACTGTGATGCTTTTAAATGCTGTGCCTTGGGGCTGAGGCTGGAATTGATGGTAAAGCCGAGATTCTGCAGAGGTCCAGGCGACTGATTTATCTCTGCCATTGGTGATCCCCTCCACCAACACCTCCCCCCCAAATCCTGAAACTTGACCTATAGAGACAGGAAGATGGATGTCTGTTCCCTTCTTGGGTGGAAGGGGGTGGCAAACATCAGACTGTGGTCCAGGATGGGGAGAAAGCTTCCTGGAGATGCTTAATTTCAGTGTGGCCTGTGGAGGAAGCTGGCCATACATCTCTGTCTGGCACCTGCCCCTGCCAAGGCCTGCCCGGAGCTGGCTTTGTCTCTTGACTGGGGTCTGGCTATGAGACATGATCCCTGGGTGTGGGGGTGGGAGGCGCGGGTGGCAGCAGTGGAGCCCGCCATCCTGCTTCCCTTGAGGGGCCCCGCTCAGCTGTGTCAGTGGAGAGAAGGCTTAAGAGACAGAAGGCTCAGCACAGGCATCTCCTTTGGGACCTGGCACTGGACAGAGGGGGAGCCCCCACTTCCTCCAGGAGCCAGGACCACACCCCCGGGTCAGACTTCGGCTGAGGGCCCAGGGGACAGAGCAGGGGCCTCTCAGGTACCTTGCTGGCGCTCAGGGCCTCAGTGAGGACACAGCCCCCTTCCTGCTGTCCTACTCTCTCCTGGAGTTTCCCTGGGGACCCCTTGGTACTGGTTGACGGCCCTTTCAGACTTCAGAGCCCCAGTTTCGTGGGCAACAAGCCCCAGCTGCTTGAGGGTCCCTGCAGTATTGCTGGGTGGCAGCACCAATGAGGCAGGGCCCAGGGGCATGGCCCTCCACCCCTCCTCCATCCCCCCTCCCCATCTGTGAACTCAGCCACATTCCACAGCTGACTCCCTGGGTAACTCCAGAGTCTTACTGTGCTTTCAGAAGCGGTGGGTTCTAAACTGCGGATTCCTAAGGCCCACTTTGTATCTTATGCAAAGTCTCGGCCCCTTGCTGCACTCTCAGCTCCTCCGAAGCGGTGGGTTCTAAACTGCGGATTCCTAAGGCCCACTTTGTATCTTATGCAAAGTCTCGGCCCCTTGCTGCACTCTCAGCTCCTCCCAGACAGGGGTAGTGGGCAAGGGCCAGGCTGAACCTCCAGACCCGGAGGAGCTCTGGCGGCAGGGGCTGGTGGGGAGCCTGCTGTCCTTCCCCATCCCTTTCCAGACTTTCTCGGGCTCTGTGTGCAGTGGTCCGGATTGAGGCCGAGCAGGTGGTGAGCGCAGTTACTGTATCCGGAACCCCCCGCCCTCCCCCCACCGGGCTTTGACAGCCTGCCCACAGCCATGGTGACAGACTGGCTTGCCCTGTCTTCTAGGTTGCTACGGCATCCGCCCGGAGCTGGTCAACGAGGGCTGGACGTGTTCCCGGTGCACGGCCCACGCCTGGACTGCGGTAACTCGCCCCTGCAGCTGGGGTGGTGCTCTGAAAGCCGGCGCGGCCCGTGGGGGAGCCGGGCCTGGGCCCCGGGCTCGCCCGATCCCGCGGGGAGACCTTGGGCTGGCTGCCTCACCTCCTTGGGTCTCGGGTGGAGCCCATCGCTTCGGTGGCCGCTAGTGTGAAATGTAAGGACCGCTGGCGGGGGCCGGAGCAGATTCCGGAGCAGCAGGCGGGCGGTCCTGCCCTGCACACCCCTCAACGAGTTGTCTGGTCCCCGCAGGAGTGCTGCCTATGCAACCTCCGGGGAGGCGCCCTGCAGATGACGACCGACCGGAGGTGGGTGGAAGGACCCCTTCTAGGGGACGGGGGTACCTGAGGGGCAACTCGGGGGCAGGAGCAGGACCGGCAGGAGCAGATGAGGTCCTGTCGGCTTGGCAGGCCCGTGCCCACAGCTTTGAGATGACCCTAGAGGGGACAGGGTGCACCTGTGACCCCTGACCCCTTCCACTCCTCCCCCAGGTGGGTCCACGTGATCTGCGCCATCGCCGTCCCGGAAGTGCGGTTCCTGAACGTGATGGAGCGCCACCCGGTGGACATCAGCGGCATTCCTGAGCAGCGGTGGAAGCTGGTAGGAACCCTTGAGAGCTGCCCCGGTGGTGTGGGGTAGCTGCCGTGGAGCCAGGAGGTGGTTTCAGTGTGGCCAGCAAGTTACTCTTTGAGTAGGCAGGGGGTGCCTCTCCGTGGCTCCATTTCCTGCTTTTTACACAGAAAAAGCCTCCTGCGCTCTGCCCAGTTCTTTCTTGATTAACTTGCAATCAGCGGCCAAATAGAATTTTAAGAACATAATAGCCAAGAAGGTCTTCATCAGGCATAACTGAAAATTCACACACATTAAATAGCAGCTGCCAGTTTTCCCTCCCTCAGCCCCAGAAACCACCTCTCCTCTCTGCTTCTGTAAGTTTGTTTTTGCTTCCTCCTGGACATGGAGATACGCAGCAGGTGGCTAGCTTATTTCACTGAGCATAATGTCCTCAGTGTCCATCTGTGTGGCTGCAGATGGCAGGATTTCCTTCTTTTTCATGGGTGAGTAACATTCCATTGTGTTTCTACACTATGTCTTCATCCATTTTCTCTCCACGGATGCTTAGGTTGTTTCCAGGTTGTGTCTGTTGTAACCAGTGCTGCCCTGAACATGGGGGTGCAGATATCTTTTCAAGATAGTGATTTTGTTTCCTTCAGCAAAAGACCCATGAGTGGAATTGCCAGATCATATGGTAGTTCTGTTTTTAACTTTTTGAGGAACCACCATACTGTGTTCCATAGCAGCTACACCAATGTGGGTTCTGACTAGCAGTGCGGGAGGGTTCCCTTTTCTCTCTGTCCTCGCCAATACTTGTTATCTCGTGTTTTCTTGATGGTGGCCATTCTAACAGGTGGTTTTGATTTGCACTTCCCAGATAATTACTGATGTTGACATCTGCTTACATGCCTGCTGGCCATCTGTGTGTTTTCTTAGAGAAATACCTAGGCAAGTCCTTTGCCCATTTTTAAACTTGGCTGTTTTGCCTGTTTTGCTCCTCAGCTGTGGGAGCACTGCCTCTGGCTCCTCTGAGGATCACAGCCGTCCTTGGGTAGGAGTGGTCTTGCAAGTTTCACTCTTCTGGTTCTTGCTGATAATGTCTGCCCACCCTCCCCCCAATCTGGGGGAGCCTTCGGGGCAGTGGGCGCAGTCAGTAAGCAGCGCTGACTTTCATTCTCAGCTCTGTTACCAGCCAGCTGTGTGATCCAGACAGATTCCTTGGCCTGTCTGTGCTTAGTCTTCTTCTCCATAAAATGGGGCTGCTGACAGTCCCCCACATGGGGAGCATGAACTGGGCCACAGCAGGAAGTGCTGATGATGCCATCTGAGCACCAGCACCTGCTCTCAGGTCATCACCACCTATGAGTCTGCAGGGTGGCCTTGTGGAGGACATGTGGGGAGTGGGATGTGTCTTACGGCCCCCAGGAGATGGATCATTGGCCTGGGGTATGGAGAGCATCCTGGCTGTTCTTCTTGCCTGGTTTATTTCCCAGCTGCCTGGCACAGGGCCTGGGTACAGAGGCTCTTCCAGGCCTCCAGTGGGCAGGAGGCAGAGAAACAGGGCTGCAATTGGTGAGCCTGGTGAGGAGGCCCAAGTGAAGTCTCAGAGGCACCACCCTGGAGCCCCTCGGTGCGGGGCCTCCGGGCAGGGCAGAGTGGGTGGCTGGCGGGAGCCATGTGAGAGGGGAAGGGGCCTGGTCAGGAACTGTGGGGCTCAGGCCAGTGCCAGCCCCACCGGGTCAGGTTGGGTGTTAGGAAGAGGCTGCAGCAGCAGTGATTCCTGCAGGAACACGGGCAGCAGAGGCCTCATTACTCAGGTGGAGTGATGGCACGGTGCGCGGCGCCGGATAGAGCCTCCCTCCCAGACGCTTTATGGATCATCTGACATTTCCAGCTTGCAGCCTCTTCATTACCGGCACTTGTAACGATGAATTAAAAATCCTTTTACACGAGGCTTGCTTGTACTGCCTAATGGAGCCTCACAAGGAAGCTGGCAGTTAACTCCTGCTTGCCCGGCCACCCGCCTGCCTTCCTGGGGCCACATGTCAGCCGCAGGCTTGGGGACGGTCATGCCTGGTCATCCGCCCATCCTTCTGTCCCCAGGATTCTCTGGCCGCTGGTCCTGGTGAGTGGTGGCTGCTCCAGCCGTCTGGTAGCCTGAGCCTGGTGCTCACCCCCTCACCAGCCCGGGTCAGCTTAGGGGGCAGTAGAAGTGAGGCTGTCAGGGCAGGTGCTTAGACCAGCTCTGCCCTTCTTCTCAGCTCTGCCTTGAAGTGTCACATCTTGATGGGAGGGAAGGTGGGTGTCTGCCAAAATTGGCAGGAAGGCAAGGGGTGGCAGGAAATGACTTGAGGGGGGAAAGGCCTGAGACATGACTGTGTCTTGCGGCCTCCATGGCTGATGGCACACCAGCTGTGGCCCTCAGCCTTCTCCCACGGTCCATCCTGTATCATCCCCCCACCCCCATCTCCTGCCCCCACCTCACAGCCTCCAGTGAGGGAGATGCAGACCCAGGACTCACGCTTAAGGCAGCCCTGAGTTCATCGCCTGGCATACGGCCCCTTGGGGGCCTAGCACACTTTCCTTAGGATGTGGAAACTCAGTGACGAGATGCCACTACCGGCCAAACTGTCAGGCTCCTCCTGGGCCTTGCTGTGGGGTTTCTGCCTTCTGGTGCAGCGCCCCGTTCTCAAGGGCCATGTCACATGTCTCCCTCCCCGCCACAGGCCAGCTGGAGAATCAGGGATCGACAGTTTAATAATGAGATCTCATTGCCATCGATCGGCACAGGGCTGCACTCCCACAGCGCCCTTGCTGTGGGGCTTCTCTGGCTTTTGAACGTGGTTTACAGAGCAATAAAGGCTGGCTTATTAAAGGCCCAGAGTCATCGGCAGGTGGCTGCTGAGTGGCGGCAGGGTGTGGGCATGGATGCAGTGTCGATGGCTTGGGATCTGACGCCCAGCAGAGCAGGCCGCCCAGGCGGGTGTTCCCACAGTGTGGGCCCCCTACCCCTCCTTATGAAGGGCTGCACTGCAGCATCTTTCATTCAAAATTAAGATAAAATCTCCCATTTTTTTTTTAAAATCCCCATTTCAGTGGCTTTAACTACATTCACAGATTTAGGTAACCATCATCTCTAGCTAGTTCCAGAACATTCCATCACTGCAGAAAGAAATCCGCCCCCCCCCGATTGGGTGACTGCCAACCACTCCCCCCCCCCCCCCCCGCCCCAGCCCCTGAAAACCCCTAACCCCACTGCCTGTCTGTGGATTGGCCTGTTCTGGACGTTTCCCATCAGTGGAATCACACCCTGTCTTTCTGTGTCTGCTTCTCTCATTGAGCATCCTGTTTTCAGGGTCCCTCTGCGTGGTAGCAAGGTGCCTCTTGAGCCAGCTATGTGGAGGGGCTGGTGGAAAAGAGGTCTAGAGATGCTCCTGGGGGCCAGCTGCAGGCTGGATTGGTGGGCCTGGGGTGGTCAAGACTCTCCCAGGATGACCCCTCCATGGGGCTAGGCCCCTGCACTCCAGCTTCAGATTTCAGAGTCATTCCCAGGAGACAGACCTAGGGGCCCAGTAGGGCAGGGGCTCGCAGCCCCAGGGGGCAGAGGTACCAGCCGGAGCCCCATTCCCTCTGCCGTGTCCCCACAGAAATGTGTGTACTGCCGGAAACGGATGAAGAAGGTGTCAGGCGCCTGCATCCAGTGCTCCTGCGAGCACTGCTCCACCTCCTTCCATGTGACCTGCGCCCACGCCGCTGGTGTCCTCATGGAGCCGGACGACTGGCCCTATGTCGTCTCCATCACCTGCTTCAAGCACAAGTCGGGGGGCCACAACGTGAGTGCCCGCCTGCCCCCCAGTCTGTTCCCCTGCCCCTCTGTCCCGCTGTGTTCTGACATCCCCTCCACCCTCAGGTCCAGGTCATGAGGGCCGTGTCCTTAGGCCAGGTGGTCATCACCAAGAACCGCAACGGGCTTTACTACCGGTGCCGCGTCATCGGCACCACCACGCAGACCTTCTACGAAGTGAACTTTGATGACGGGTCCTACAGCGACAACCTGTATCCAGAGAGCATCACTGTGAGCGGCGAGGGGCGCGGCAGGGGGCGGCGCAGGCGCAGGGCAGGCACTGCTGGGAGGGGGCCCGATTCCTCACGGGAGTCTCCTACTGGAAAGCTCTGCCTGCACGAGAGTGGGCCCCAGGGCAGGGGTGGCAGCAGACCCCTGGGCACTCACCCACAGCTCGCCCTGACAATTTAAGCTGAGACCACCGCCTTCTTCTGGCTGGGACCTTTCTTAGCCCAGGCCAGCGTGGTGACTGAGGCCACGGGCGCCCCTCACCCCGTCCCATCCTTCCCTCCACAGAGTAGAGACTGTGCCCGCTTGGGCCCACCACCCGAGGGCGAGTTTGTGGAGCTCCGGTGGACTGACGGCAACCTCTACAGGGCCAAATTCATTTCTTCTGTGACCAGCCACATCTATCAGGTGAGGGGGTGCTGTCTGCCGGGTATGGGCTGGGGTGGGGCCCTCAGCAGGGTCCTTTGGAGACTGTGGAGCTAGCCTCTGAGGTCAGTGCAGGCAGGAAGGCCTTCTAACTGTCCCAGATGTCTTCTCGATTTTGTGTGTGTGTGGTAGAACATACTTAACGAAATTTACTGCTTTCACCATTTTTTTAAATGTACAATTCAGTGTTCCTGATTTTTAAAAAAAATAAAGTTGGTTGCTAGTTTTTTCTCATGATTGTGGAAGAAAAGTTATTGGCGTGTGAAATCTTAGAAGAAAAATCACCCCCATCCCAGCGACAAAGACAGTGGCGGGTGACCCTGTGCTGTTTTCCCAGCGGTTGCCCTGCAGGCCGACCTTGAGTGGGTGGGCTCGGGGCTGGGCCGGGGTGGGCCACGAGCTGAGCTGCATCCCCTTGGCAGGTGGAGTTCGAGGATGGGTCCCAGCTGACAGTGAAGCGTGGTGACATCTTCACCCTGGACGAGGAGCTCCCCAAGAGGGTCCGGTCCCGGCTGGTAAGTGGCCAGGAGTTGGGGTGGGGGTGGGTGCACAGCTGCCTTGGGAGCGATCCATCCAAGAGGCCTTGACATCCCGCCTTGGCCTTTGCTGGTTTTGAGGCAGGAAGGGCAGTGGGAGGGTCAGCCTGGCCTGCAAGGAGGAGGCAGCAGCACCTGAGCATGGATCGCAGCTGCACGTTGGCGATGCAGAGGGAACGAGAGAAGCTGGCCTTTTCTCAGGACTTTTCGCCATCTTATTTCTTTCGGGTTTAACCCAGAGGCAAACTTTTGAGGATCAGGGGCTGTGGCTGTGGGGGGAAGAGCTGAGTCAGAACTGGTGGGGGTCCCAGATGCGAGGTTCCCTGGGGGACGGATAGGACCTGCCAGGCAGACCAATGGTCTGTGTGCAGCTCAGCCTTGCCTCCCACATTCTGTGGACGGCAGGGCTCCCACCCTGTTAGGGGGCCAGTGGGAGGCTAGACCCCTCCTCTGCCTGCCTGGGGGGGTCACTCGCAGGGTGGGGTTTCAGGCAGAGGCAGGAGGGGCCATCCCCAGCAGCCAAGGGCCTTTGGCCTCCAGCATGGCAGGCATTTGTTCCAGCCAGACCCCCAAGCACAGCCTGTATTTCAGTCCATTCTGTCTGCTATACCACACTGGACAACTTAAACAATCTCACAGGAAGCTGGAAGTCCAAGATCAAGGCACCGACAGGTTCAGGGTCTGGTGAGGGCAGACCCTGGTTTACAGACATCTGCCTTCTTTGTCCTCACGTGGTGGAGAGGGAGGGCGCTCTCAGGGGTCGCTTATAAGGGCACTCATCCTGTTCTCGAGGGCCACTCTCTCATGACCTCATCACCCCTGACCCCATTGTGCCATGCGGGGCGGGGCTTCAGCATAGGACTGGACCTTGGGGGACACAGATCTCCGCCCACAGTACCCTTTCTGCACTAACCCCCACGCCATCTGCTCCTCTGTAGTCGGTCAGCACAGGGGCCCCGCAGGAGAGCGTCTTCTCCGGAGAGGAGGTGAAGGCCGCCAAGCGCCCTCGGGTGGGCACCCCTCGCACCGCAGAGGACTCAGGGCGGAACCCGGACTACCCGGCCTTCATGGAGAGCCTGCTGCAGGCGCAGTGCTGGCCCGGAGCGCCCTACTAGGACCGCCGGCCACCCGTGAGCCCTTGGCCCAGCAAGGCAGGCGCGGCGGGCCCTGGCGTTTGCTTGCTGTGAATCCCTGTCCTCGCCTCCCAGCCCGAGAGGCTACCTCGGCGACAGGAGCGAGCAGGACGCCGCACGCGCCCCCGGACTCAGGGAGCAGGGCCACGCGGGCTCTGGGGGCTGGCGGGGGTGCGCGCGCCACCCCCTTGACCCAGATTCGTAAACCACGTGAGCTCTTCTTCTCGTAAAAGGTGCTACTGCATTGCCTGCCTCCTGAGCAGCCGTGGAGATTGTGACTTCTGTACATACATCACCTTTGTGAGGTTCTTTCTATAAATACCTATTGTTTAAAAAAAATGCAAGAAAAAAAAAGGAAAAGGAAAAATCACACCCCAAAGTTGTTTTCTAGATTTGTGGCTTTAAAAACAAAACGAAATGAAACAAAATGTCCTTTTTTCTCAGAACCCGGTGAGCTGCCCAAGATAAAAGCAGCTCAGCTTTTTGTTTGTCGTGTTTTCTGGTCCCGAGCGAGCAGTGGGGATGCGCTGTAGCAGCGGTGAGGCCGGGGGGCACGGGGAGGCGTGAGCAGAACGCCTGGGCACCCCTGACGGCGGCGCCAGGTCACCCACTGTCTCCCAGTCGTGAGATCGAGCAGGTCTGGGCCACTGGCACTGTGCGGCCAGCACGCAGCGGGACGAAGCTGGCAGCTCCTCTGGTGGCCTCCCCTCGCCCCCTGCGTGGCCTTTTGCAAAATAAATGCGCTCTCTTCTGGTGGCTCCATCTTTTGCTTCTTCCCCCGGGAAGAACCATCTCCCAGCTGAGGCCGCAGGTGGGCGGCCCTCAGGGGTCTGGCTGCGGCTCACACATGTGCAGGGGGTCTTCCCCAACCCCGAGGGGCTGGTACATCCTGTATGATCTCTGTGACGCGTGGATTTGTGTGTCTGGGGGAGAGAGCACTCTAGAGGGAATCACGGCTTTCAGCTCGGAGGAAATCTGCCCCGGAAGGCTTGTGGGCTGAATTTCCAGGCAGAGAAACATGTTCCTCATTCGGGGCTAGGAGAGGAACAGTGCCCCCCACCACATCTCAGCCACGCCGTGGTCCCCTGCAGAGGAGTTGAAAGCGTCATTTGCTTGTATAAAGATTTTTTAAGTTTAAAAAAGAGGCTCTAACAGTTGCCAGGCCAGAGAGAACCAAGTAAAGTGGAGAGAAACTTCCTTGGTGGGGGGAAGGGCAGGTGCTCTAGAGGGGCGGGCGGGGCGGCGGGAGGTGCCGGGGAGTCAGCGGAATGTGGGGGTTCCCTCTGCATGCAGCAGGCCCCTGCCCCGGGGCGCTGTCCCTGTGTTCATATGTAGTTTGAAAATGCTATTTATATTGTAAAGAGAATAAAAAGAAGCAGGCAGACGCCCCTGTGGCTCCGGGTCGGGCAGGTGGGCCACCCCCGTGGCCAGTCCCTCAGGGTTCCACCCCATCCGTGGCGGGTTCCTGGACCACTTGTGCAGACAGGCAGTGGGGCAGCAAAGGGGGAGCGCGCTTTCCCCATGAAGGTATATCTGTGTCTAAGTGTGAAAGCAAGAAACACGAACTCCCACCCACCCTGGTTTTTTTCCACCTGAGATGAAGGATGCGCTGTATTTTTGCCTAATTCCCCTGCCTCTAGGTTCATAATGAATTAAAGGCTCGTGAGCACTGCGATTACAGCTCCAGGTGGTTGCAGCGTCTTCTTTTGTCTTCTTTTCTGAGCGGGTGCCAGGGAGGCGGGCAGCGGTCCCCAGGCTGGGGTGGGCTCTGGGTGCCCCCTCCAGGAGGGAACAGGCGTGGTTCCTCCCCAAAGGGTGGCACATGGCCTGGCCCCATGACCCCTGCTTTCTGCCTCCAGGATGGAGGAAGTTTCCTTACAGAGCTGGACATCCGAAGCTTGTGTCCACACAGACGTCTGGCCCCCAAGGCTTTCGGGTCTCCCTGGGGCGAGACCCTCTCCCCCTGCTCTCCCAGCCTCTGCCCAGTTCTTGTGACACCTGAGCCAGGGATGGTGGGCAGCCATCGGACACATGTGAGACAGCAGGGTCCACGTGGTGTGAGGCTGGCCCCCCTAATATTCATGAATGTGTCACTCATTCAGCCAGTACCCAGGATACAGCAGTAGGTGTGACAGCAGTGGGAGAGGTAGACAGTATATGAAATGGGATGTCAGTTGTAATGTAAAGAACAGGAGGTCCTGAGGGAGATGAGAGGTGAGGCATGGGGACATCTTGGGGCACAGTCAGTGCAAAGGCCCTGGGGCAGCACCATGCCTGGCTTTCGTCCCCTGCACAGCTTGTGGGATCTTAGTTCCCCAACCAGGGATCAAACCTGTGACCCCTGACAGTGGAAGCACCAAGTCCTAACCACTGGACCACCAGGGAAGTACCCATGCCTGGTATTTTGGAGGAACAGTTGAGTGGGCCCATGTGACTACAGCAGAGCAAGGGGGAGGGAGGGAGGGGAGAGAGGAGATGACGGCAGGGAGGGGGTGCAACAGGTCATGCAGGGCCTTTGGGCTGCAGGAAGACTTGGGCCTTTACCCCAGGGGAGTGGGCAGAGGAGAGGTGGGGCCTGACTCCGCCTCTGCTCACTGGTGCCATGGGGTGAGGTGGGAGCCTGGGGACCAGGGCAGAATGGAAACACTGAGCATCTTGAAAGATGGCTTTTGAGGTGAGCTGGGCTATCACGGCTGGACATGGGGCTGAGGGCTGAGAGAAGGCATTTAGGAGACATCAGCAGATAAGCCTGGGGGCTGTGGACAGGGCGCCCCTCTGGGCCTCAGTTTTTCCTCTGCAGAATGGGCATCCTTAAGGGCGCTGTGTCATGAGCAAATTTCCTCCAAGGAAGTATCCACCCAGCCACTGCCTCCCTCAGTCTTCTTCTCCGACCCCTTTGCAGAGATGCTGCCCAGCACCCTCAACAAAGCCCCCAGGACTCAGTTTCCCCATCTGCTACAGAGGACTCCCTGCAACACTGACCAGGTAAGTCAGCATCCTCTGACCCTTCCCGGGGCCTGGCGGATGTGGTTGGTCCTCAGTGGTGAGGAGGGGGCCACAGACAGCAGCAGTGAGAATGGCTGACCAAGGTGGTCTCAGCATGGTTGCAGATGGCTCTCTGTTCTCAGTGCTCTCTGAAATATCATAAAATGGGGAGGTAATTTGGCTCAGGCCATCGTGGACTGAGGTCAGGGCCAAGATACCAGGCTGACTCCACGACTCTGCAGCTGCGTGCAACCTACGGGATCTGTGGCATCCAGGCACTGGGCCCAATGCTAGAGTCTTGATAAATTTATCAGGTGGCAAATGTCAACTGCCCTGTGCTAGGACCTGGGAGGTGGCTGAGAAAGAGGGGGGCAAGGTCACTGCTTCTTTGGAGTTTATAGAGTTCAGGAAAGCAGGCAAGTGATAAAAACATAAAGCGCCATAAACACAGCTTTGACATGTTCCCTGAAGGACAAGAGAGGGAGCAGAAATGGAGGGGAAGGTGTGGTCACAGAGACCTTTTAGGATCCTAAAGAGGTGATATTTAGCTCTGACCCCTCAAGGGAGGTCAGTCAGATTCAGGCGGGGGATGTGGTACATGGTACTGAATACCCCAGCCTTTTAGGTCAAGGTCCCTGCAACCTAAAGCCCTCAAGTCAAATCCGGCTCTCCTATAAATAAAGTTTTGTTGGCACATAGGCACACCCATTCATTAAGTACCATCTATGGCGGCCTTTGCTCTACAAGGGAGGGCTGAGCGGTAGCAGCAGAGACCGCCTGGTGTCCCAAGAGCTAGACATACACTATCTGGCCCTTTACAGAAAAAGTTGTGCTCATTTTAGACCTAGAGTGAGTGAGAAAGGGCAGCCTCTATACACTTGATGGAGAAGGCAATGGCACCCCACTCCAGTACTCTTGCCTGGAAAATCCCATGCATGGAGGAGCCTGGTAGGCTGCAGTCCATGAGGTCGCTAAGAATTGGACACGACTGAGTTACTTCACTTTCACTTTTCACTTTCATGCACTGGAGAAGGAAATGGCAACCCACTCACTCCAGTGTTCTTGCCTGGAGAATCTCAGGGACGGGGGAGCCTGGTGGGCTGCCGTCTGTGGGGTCGCACAGAGTCAGACACGACTGAAGTGACTTAGCAGCAGCAGCAGCATACGCTTGATCTGTGCCTGTGACAGAATCGTTTTCCCGTGGGGCATCCCTCAATGCCCAGACCCGCCTTGCCTCCCAGAGGCCCCTGATTAGGCTCACTGTCCATAGCATCCACCCCAGACCACCCTTGCAAAGAGCTTGGTGGAAAGAGAAGGACTTTGGCTGGGGCCCCTCCATCCATTTGTCATTGATCCACTGAGGGCTCCGCCCTCCACATCCTGGAGCATCCCTGCTCATCCTGCTGATTGCTGAAGGGAAGCCCAAACACGCCCCATGTCCAACCCATTGGGCTGCCCCCACCTCCCCAAGTTGCCCCCTTTGGCCAGTGCAGAGAGGGACAGTGGGTCTGGGCCTCTGATGGCCTCTGTGGTCCAAAAGTCCTGGCTCTAATCCCCACTGTCATGATTCACAGCTTTTATGAAAGTGAAAGTCGTGTCTGACTCTGCAACCCCATGGACTGTGCAGTCCATGGAATTCTCCAGGCCAGAATACTGGAATGGGTAGCCATTGCTTTCACCAGGGGATCTTGCCGACCCAGGGATTGAACCCACCAGGTCTCCTGCATTGCAGGCAGTTTCTTTCTTTTTTTTTTTCTCAGGCAGTTTCTTTACCAGCTGAGTTACCAGGGAAGCCCGAGAATACTGGAGTGGGTAGCCTATCCCTTCTCCAGCAGATCTTCCTGACCCAAGAATCGAACCAGAGTCTACTGCTTTGCAGGCAGATTCTTTACCAGCTGAGCTACCAGGGAAGCCACAGCTTTTATGCTGGTGCTGAAATCTTTGTGTGCCCACTTCTCCCTCTCCCTAGCACCAACTGTCCCGCCTCCTCGACTGGC